AAGAGGCAGTTTGATCGGTTTTGCCGGAGGCTTAACGATACGTGCTCATGGTGACCGTTTTATGCACATATGGAGTGTATTAAAACTATTTCGTTTGAGGTGATAAACGGACTGGTGGTTGAATTTTCTTGCAATCACATGAATAGGCCTTAAGTTTCCAATGCATTTCACATAGTTATAGTGGTTTACGTATCGAGATGACACGCTGCACTGTCATGGTTTGAGTCTCGATGGGGACGCTGATGAGACCATTTCAGGCGAGGTCAAAACTGCAGTCCACTACTGGCCGGATAAGAATACCTTTTGTGAATCAAGGCTATGTAAATGTCATGTCTACTCATAGCATTGTGGGAAAATTCGACTATCCTATCCCTTATCACCTTAAATGAAAGAGTGTGAATTCACTTCATGTATAAAACCGAATTATGCACAAAGAGCCTATCCAGTTTGTCTAAGCTGTCGGCAACAAAGATGGGAGGAATGTCAACAAATCGTCCGTCTGACGACGACATCCCGTCTCTCGTGTGATCCATGATCCAACAGCCATATTGATCCTGTCCCCGTTGTGCCATACTAATGCACATAGTTTGGATCACGCTTGTATAGGCTGTAGTTGAGGTCCTCAAAGACAAATGGTACCAAATGCACAGCTTGCCAAATAGGTGCCCAGAGAAGCCCACGGGCAGATGCAAAATCCGTCACTTTCAGCCCACCAACGGGCGGAGCTAGAGGGCATTGTCATGTGGAATTCACACTCGCGTTGAGTGGCAAAAAGCTGAGGCCAATTTGGGCGTCAGATTGTCATCCAAAATTAATTAAAAAACTCTGAATACCTTCCAAAAAAGGAGGAGGTCATCGAAATGGTAGTGTGGAAGGTAGGAAACAGCGAGGAAAAACACTCCAAGCCTCATCGTGCATTCTGCCATACCTGAGTATATCAAGTAGCAGACAAGTTGGGAAGTTCATTCCTGGCTCTGAATATCGTTGGGGTGTCGCCAGGATGGTGCTAATTCTTTGGTCAGTCGAGACAAGGTGGCTCGGAGTTGAAGTTGGTTAGCCTAAGCCTATTACGACGATTTAAGGAATGAGAATTACGTTTTTATTGAAATAAATGACGACCAATTGACGACAACTTCGACGCTGTCATCAACACATCCAACAAGATTTAAAGTCGAATCGTAATATCTTTGTAGTCATCTTCAATATTTTCGCAGTCCGTGTGAGTATGGTTCGAAATTATCCGACATCCTCGAATAAAAACTTATTCAGCCTAGGTTGCCTAAGGTGACTTACAGACTGCCTGCCAGTTAAGTTTCTCCCATAATTATGTGATTACTTATGAAAAATCAGACTGATCCTTTTAGAGGAACCCGTTTGTGGGGCTTTCCCTATTAAGATCTGTCTGAGTTTTAGCCCAATTAGGTGTTCTTGCATAAGAGTTATGCGCCTCCTAGGCCGTATAAGGTGATATAAGACTGAAAGTTGAATTCCTATCACAATCATAAGAGTAGGCCTCACGTTTCCATGGGATTTCGCTGAACCCTGCCTCCCAAAACGTAATCTCATCCAGGCGGAACCGGACTATGGCTTCGACCTGACCCCAGCGAGAAGTGAACAATTCAACTATCAGTCCTGTAATATGAGATGTATTCACCCAATTTCGTGTAAGGTGATGAAGGACTGGTAGAAGAAGAATTTTCCCACGATATGAGTTAAGCTGACGTTTCCATTGCTATCCTTGCTTTCCCAAAAGTCATTTCGACCTCGCATCGGTCTTACCAACACCCCCAGCGGGAGTCGAACCGTGACAGTGCAGAATGGGAACTTGACATGTTAACCACCCGGCCACGTTGCCACGAGTGACCTTGGGTCACAGGGCAGATGTGAATTTCAAGGAAGGTCAGGCCTTTTTGCTATATCATATTCTTTGGTGGGAGTGCCGATGAAGCAAGCGTATATTTGCTATAGCAATCGACTACGTTACTTATTTTCGTATTGGAGTAGAGTTTCGAGACTAAAACTAAATAAGTAATATGAGATGTATTCACCCTATTTCGTCTAAGGCGATGAAGGACTGGTAGAAGAAGAATTTTCCCACAATCATATGAGTCCTTCATCGCCTTAGACGAAATAGGGTGAATACATCTCATATTACTGATTTATTGGTAGTCTCGAAACTCTACTCCAATACGAAAATATCAGTCCTGTACCAACTAAAGTGATTTAGAGTGAATACGACTCTTATTCAAGATTTACCGATAATTTCGAAGCATATTATAGACGAAAATAGGCATTTTCTCACGCCTTAATGCATACTCGATGAGTAGAGTAAAGTAATTTTGACAAAAAAAATGCTCGGTCGTCTTGGCTACCGCAAAGCTTATCCAGCTTGGGTTAGCAATACGAATGATGTGCATATTCCGTTGGAGGACATCGATGAAAAGCTCGTAAAAACAGTTGAGGATCGAGTGATTTTGAGGAGTAAAGGTGGAAGGAAGACTGCCTGTTTGGCTCATCGGATCCAGAGTGGACGCTTGTCTGCATGCGCGACACTGAAAATCGGCCATCGAATAGATCATGAATTGGGCAGTGCTCTTGTGCGAGACTAGTTGGAGGAGTGGACCGAACACGACATCATCGAGTTGTGGACAGGTTGTCCAGGCCTCTTTTGTCGTCCGAAAGGAAAGATTGTTCTGGTTTGAGTGATGACTGCAGCCTGAAGTGAGCAGCGATACGAGCCGAGAGTGATGTGCACGCGGTGACGGTAGATTTCGCTTGTCATCTTCTGAATCGAAAGTGGAAGTGGGTTGAGATGACGCCACAATGGGCAGATTGTTGGAGAGATTTTCATTTCGTATCGAAATCGAATGAACAGATGCTTCGCGTTGTACTGTAGCCGTTTGGCTTCATACGGCCTTTAGGTTGACGCATTTCTCGAGACATCCTCCTTCGTTTCTGGCTAACGTCCATCATGTGAGATGGACATTATCGGAGCTGGAAGTCAAGAAGACTATCCGGTTCTAACCTACTTCTAATATACACTCAATTGAGCAAAATGAAAGATATGAAGACCAAGATGTTGTGGCCTCTGGTATGGTCGCAGTCTCCTTTCGACGAGGCCACACTCGGTTTGCCACAAAAGGGCACACATTTTGACGAGTGGA